TCTCACTGGGTCTAATTCAATTTCAGGTCTGTGTGTCCTATCTGGGTTGGTGTGTCTGTGGAACAAGCTGCAGACCCTGCTGCAGTAAGTCGACTCTGATGAGATCTGCAGGCTCAATCCCATTAGAAATAAGAGATCTTTGTCTGGAGCTGTGTGGTGGCCCTAATCCAAGCCCGCCTGCCTCAGTGTGTGTGTGTGTGTGTGTGTGTGTGTGTGTGTGTGTGAGTTTGGGGGAATGCATCCCTGTTTTTGTGCGAAGAGAGTGTGACCTATTCACTTGGTATTAGTGGACATTACTCAGGGTGATGATTCAACATTCCTGTCTGATTTCCGGCCGGCACAGCACTTGGACCAGTCACTTCAGGCAACATCAACACAACGCATCTATTTAACACACCGGCTGAACTGTCACGCCGGCTTCTACATTATATCTGACATAAACACACACACTGGGGAAAGTTCACAGCATGATAAGATGAATGAAGTTTAAGACATTAATATAAAAAAGATTTCTGACTTGTTAAAAGGTGACACATGAAATGGGACAACAGCAGGAAAGACTTTCATTGTAGCTTGAGTTTCTGTTTCTTTGCCTTAAATGTTCCAACTGTGTGTGTGTGTGCGTGTGTGTGTATGTGTGCTGTAACTTCTCACAACCAAATATGGAATCATTTTCTCCTCTCTAATGTCCTGCTCCACATCTAAAAATAAAAAAAAACTGTGTCAATAGAGCAAATGTGTGGATCCATCTGAAAAATATCCACCTGAACTAAAAGCTTTAGAAGTTTTGAAAATGACTCACAGGGCAGGCGTTTGTTGTGAAGGCTGGCCGATGAGGAGCTCATGTTGCTGGTGGAGGAGTCGTAGAAATCAGAGGCAATCAATCAGAGATGATCAGTGAGAGTTCAGCAGAGAGGCTGCCGACCATCTCCCACCCCTCCTCTGCTCACTCACTGGGACTGCTCCAAGGTGACTGATGCTGGCTGCCACAACGCTGCTCTCCTTTCCCCCCGCTTTCCCCTCTTTGCCTCAGTGGACTCTGAGCCACTTGGATGAGGCGAGAACAAGTTTGTGGCTTTGTGGAGCCGACCAGCTGACCAATGACAGGGAGGAGGGAGGAGCTGAGGGAGACCGAGGAAGGGATTGAGAAAAGGGAAGGAGGGATTTTATGTAACGGAGTGGAAAATACCAAGGAGAGACAGGCACATGCCTTTGTTATTTTTGTCTTCTTACACCCCCTTCTTCCCTCTCCCTCCCTCCCTCGTTGTCTCTTGTTCCCTGTATCCCTTTTCTTTTCTTTTAAACCTCCTCTTGGTGTCACCTTCAGGGTCAGGGGATACCAACAAATGTTACATTAACAAACAATATCCTTTTAATTACTGCATTATTATTTTTCAAAACTGAGTATGATATCTCACAAAGAATATTCCTTACAAATAATAATAATAATAAATATTATATATAATACATTTTGAATGGATGATTAATATCACTATTAAATTTGGATGAACTTTGTAACTAGCTATTGAGAAAAATCTGAAAACAGGTTTTATATTCAAACTGCAACATTTTAAACAAAAAAGGAGAACTGTTAGGTGTCTTTTTAGAAAATATGTTGCAGAAAACATCTGATATAAGATCTACTTGTTACATATTAAACGTAAAAAGCATTATTAATTTATTAAACTAACTGAAAAAAAGTTAGACAAATGGTCTCTGGTTCCACCTTGATCCAGTAAGGACTTGCAGTTGTTCTCTGTTTAATATCATTATAAATTATATAGTATCTTTGAGTTTTAGATTGTTGACTGAAAACAAGACGTATCACCTTAAGCTGAGGGGGAAAATTTTTAACAGACCTGTAATGATTATTTAATTGAGAAAATAACCAGCATATCAATCTAATATGAAAATAATCATGACATTAATAACTTTACACTTCTCATTGCCGTTACTCTTGGCAGTGATGATTTACTTTATGACTTTTTAAACAGTGTGAAATCTGATATTTCGTTAATAGTCCTTTCTAATTATTGATTTTAACAACCTAACTTAACCTGAGGTGGAGGTGCTCTGGTGGCCTACAGGTTAAAGGTGTCGACTGTGTACCACAACATCACCAGTCCAAACCAGGTGCCTTTGCTGCTCATCATTCCCCATCTCTCTCTCTCTCCCCTCATTTACTGTCAATTCAATTCAATAAGCTTTATTGGCATGACATTTCTTATGTGTTGCCAAAGCACTATTACAATTTAAGACAGTGGAAGTTCAAAAACAATTAACAATAATGCATTATTATTAAGGGAAAAAAACCTCACAAAGTAAAGCAGTAAAAAGACAGTGTGTGATCTGCGAGAAGATGAACTATATGTTGTTGTGTTGGCTGTGACATGCACTGACAGCTGCATCTATGGTGCTGACACTATTTTCTCCAAATATATGTTGCATTTTAGCCTTGTTTTGGAGTTTACATTTACCTTTAGTAAAGAACTTTGCACTGATGTCTTCATATGTGCTACACTGTGGTAGCAATGTTGCTCTGTCTCCACCTGTCTTTGTGAACAGAGCTGAACCAGCCTCTAAGCAGCCAGGTCTGCCTGTGTCTGCCAGTTTCTGTGTCCAGGCTGTGATCACTGAGTCTGTCACTGACTCTCTAATGAATCAATAGGATAAGAGAGAGCAAAGATAAAAGAAACTTTACTGTCATCCATCTATATCCGCCTGAGACCCAGTGTCCGCATTTGAGGACATCACATTTTGGGTTTAATCGACCTATACTACAACTTAACTTAGGTGGTTATAAGAGCACAATACACTAATCCACGTAAAAGCAAGATGGCAGCCATCTCTGCCAAGTCAGTCTGCAGCTGATCCTGACACAAAGTGGAAAAGGTCCAGAACCTGATCAAATTTTATGGTTAAAACCTGTTTATTTATAATTAATTATGTTTGTAGTTTGGTATGGCAACAAATATGACCAATTTTAGCAACAGTAACAAGCTAAGATGCTGCTAAGATGACTTAATTATCGTTTCGTTTGAGGATATTGGGACTTAATTATTGTTGACAATGTTTAGTTTTTTATACTTATTGGGTCCTACTGATCCCAAATAGCTAGGAGAAATTAAAAATGAATGAATGAATGAATGAATGAACGTAAGACACAAAAACAGGTACAGAACCAGATACAAGACAAGGTAAGCGCACAGTGCAATGACAAACATGTAGTTCAATAATGGAAAAAATGTAGATACAAATTGTGTAAAGTTAAATACGGGTAGTGTAAATAAATGTAAAGCAGCAAACAACAGTGGAAGTATTTCCCTGAGGATATATACATTAAAAGTAACAAGTAGAAGAGGTATATTACTGATGGAAATGTTTTGTCAGGACACAGTATAAAATCTGTGTGTCCTAGACACCATCTAGTGGACAACAGGTGACACACACTTCTTTCAAGCTGGACTTGCTGATTACACAATGTTTGCATGCAGAGGCTTCACGAAGCATCATTACATCATTTCTTTTTTCCAAAACACAGCATCAGCATTTAAGAAGAGGCTTTAAAAGAGTGTGTTGCTTCAGTTGCAGGCAGGAAAAGATACTGGTGTGAGTCATTGCAAGAATCTGTGTGCAAGAATCAGGACACAGTAAGATAACTTGTTGATCATGCACTGTAACTTTGATCAACAGAAAATGCATTTTATTTCCTTTAGAATAATTTATGTCTTTGTTTATTGAATACTTTACAATAAAACCTTTTGCACCGTTCTTCACATAAGAAAACAAATTAATAACAAACCTTTATATGTTTGTGGGCATAAGCATGGAAACTTTCACTACTGAAAGTCATACTTGGCACCTGTGCCAAGCTGAAAAGTGAAACTTCAAATACCGGCTGTAATGTAGCAGTTGGGAAGTGGTGGGAGGGGCTGGTGATTTGTATCAATAAAAACAGACTCTTTGTAAATGTCAGTGGTTGTGGTGGTTTATGCTAGTTGTCGCAAAGACTGCGAAATGTCGTGACAGCATCTTACCATGCCGTGAACTTTCTCTAGTGTGTGTGTGTGTGTGTGTGTGTGTGTGTGTGTGTGTGTGTGTGTGTGTATGTGTGTGTGTGAGTGTGTGTGTTCACCAATGACAAAAAAGAGAGAGAGAGAAAAACAGAGCGATAGCTACAGAGAGAGAGAGAGAGAGAGAGTGGGCAGAGGAAGCATGATGTGACTCAAAGTGAGAAATCCTCTCCACCTCAAACTAGATTATGCGTGGGCTTTCTCATGACTGGGGGTTCACCTGCTGAGGCCCTGCAAAATCAATAGCTGAGAACTGGGCTGCCGTGCTGCTGAGGCAGCCATGAAGCAAAAGCCGAGTCCTCTTTCTTGTGTTTTAAAATGAGATGAAAGGGGGGGGCGAGAAAGCCAGCAAGAAGAAGAATGTGTGGAAAAATATATAGAAAGCAAGCAGGGAGTGGGTGAGGGGGGGGTCATGGTTTATGTTGTCTGCACAACCATGAAAGGCCTTTTTTTTTACTGCAGAGAATTGGCTTTAGTGTTTAATGTTGACCTTTGAACACTTTGCTCAAAAGCAATTACTGACCATTTTCAAAGCATTCATACAGTTTGGCGTCTCGCTCATTCAGGATGAGACATTATGAGTCTTCCCACCGAGGTGAGAAAAACAGGAAGTATGAAACATCGGGGGCTATTTGCTATCGGAATGCAGATGTACCTGACAGCAAGATTTCTGTTTTGCAATCCCCTGTTTTTTTTCTTGCCTTTGTGTGTGTCCACGCTAGTCTAAAGCAATGGTTTCCCGCCCTCACTACACCAGGCAAAGCGCCAGAGCCATCAGGCAGTCATACGCCTACCATCAGCTGAGGAGTTGCACAGCAGTCTCATTTCTAATTATACACCCAACAACAGAGAGCTACGGAGCAAAGGAGAGAGTGTGTTGGAATATGGAGAGAGGAAGAGGAGTGTGATTACAAATGGAAGAGAGGCTGAGAGTGCTACTCAGCAGCAAACACAGGGTGGCCGAGTTCAGATGTGAGAGGTTGGGAGAGAGAGAGAAAAGAAAGTAAGAGAGGGAGAGGGAGAGACATCAGATCTGTCTGAGAAAGGTTAACAGGACTGACTGACTGAGTGGAGTGGGAGTGTAAAATGTAAAAGGCGAGTAGGAGGGAAGAGAGAGAGAGAGAGGAGGAGGAGAGGAGAGAGGGAGGAGAGCGTGTCTGATAGACAGTCTGTTGAGCTTGTCTGGATGCTTCTGATCATTCTGCTCTGTTTTGCCTTTTCACCTGCAGCCTGGGAGGAGGACACAATCCAGACAGGTGTGGTGTGTGTGTGTGTATGTGTGTGTGTGGAGCGACTGTGACCAAGATGGTTCGTGAAGATGGGTCACGCAGAGAGACGGATGGATGGATGCATGGATGGAGGAACGCATAAGTAAGTCTCCAACATGAAGCATTTCTGAAGATGAATCTGTGTTGATTTATGGAGCATGTTCTTTTCTTCTTCTCTCCACAAAGAGAGTCAGTTGTGCACTAGTTTAACTCTGAATGCATGTTTGAGGAACTCTTTGTGGGATTCAGCAGAGGTATTCGGGTGTATTGCGCTACAGCTCCATAAATAGAAACAACAAGCTGACTAAGTGCAATATTGTCACTACTGATATGCAAATAATCTCGTCCTCATTGCAGATTATCATGACGGTGATGGCACCAAACACACTAAACACTGCTGTGTATACACTGAATTTCCATACATGAGCAGCCAGATCACCTCATGAGGTTATTCAGCCAGGCCTGTTTGGGTCATACCTGTGTGTCAGCCACCGAGAGTAAGCAGCCCACACCTCAAATCTTTTTGAATGAATTTACATTTTCACTGCAGGCAATTAGTCGACAAATACTTATCTACAGTATGTATGTGTCATGGCTTAACGCTGAGTGCTCGCACAGGAATGTCATTGTGAGGGTGTTGTCTGATCTCCCACACATGCACACATAATAAAGAAACAGCTCATATCAGAGACATGCCTGTCGGGCAGAGTGAAAGAGGTCCATTCAGCGGCGGTGCTCAGCTATGATGATGACATAATGCAGGGCATTGAGATGAGCTTTGCATTGATAGGCTGTAAAAAAGTCCTGCACTGCTCTTTACTTTCCCTGCATCACTTTGTGTAAATAATATGTCTGCACGGTCTTTGAATAAGTAAGAAACTGTTGTGTGTGTGGCCACAAGGTGCTTATATTTAGCCCCCCTCAGTGAACTGACTCACTTCTGTGCATGCATGTAAGGAGGATGATGGGGTTTCAGTCGCTCTAGGTGTTGGAGATCACTTCAGTCCCATGAGCAAGATGAATGGTTCAACATCCTGCACCTGAATGCACACACTTTACTTTGTTTCTAGCAGTCTCACCATTTAAACATGACTGGATGATCACATTAACCTTGTGATGAAGTCTAACCTCTGAGTGTCCAACTTTGCATTGTTCAGAATCTACACTCTTCCCTCACAACCACACTGTGCTGTACAGCACTTTGTAACCATAGTAACTTTTTTCTTCAAAGGAGTTGGTAAATGTCCATCAAACTAAACCCCTTCAGCATAGCAATTGTTGGTTGGAAAGCCTTCATTTGAAGCTAATGGCGAAGTTATAGTCATTGTGTCAAGAGGATATTTGCAGGCAATGATCTCACCAGGTGGCACACTCAGAGGGGAGGGGGGAAGTTCTGTCGTTTATCAAGAAATGTTTGAAGAGAGAGAAAGTCTGACTAGAGAATCAAATTATTTTCTCCAGCTTGACGCCTTGTTTGCGCAGACATTAAGTGCACTGATATTTGCTTCTTCTACTTTTCAGATCGTGACGACCTTGGACCTGACTATCTGCAACGCTTGCCAAGAGACTGGAGTCTGTGTCACATGATCACAACACCTCCTCAGCTTCTGCAGGAGGGCATGCAGTGCCAACATGAGTGATGGGCAGCGTGAGCCAATGAGCTTCACACCGAACCCAGCTCTAGTCCCAGACAGGGACAGCCTCCCGCTCAAAAAGAGGGACCAAAGAACGAGCTCTCCACCACAGCAGAAGCAGCAGCAGCAGCAGTGTGATGCTGCAACATTCAAGGCTCCCTACCCTTACAAGAGCCACAGTGAGTTTAAGGCAAAGCACACAGGTCCTTTCCAGCCCGTACCGAGACGGGTTCCTGCACTGTACCAGCCCTGGATGCAGACTCACTCATCTGCCAGGTCCAAACCTCACGACCTCTCTGCATTTAGGGATCATCATGGCTGGGCAGAGTGGAGAGAGTTCAACCCCTTGCACCCTGGATGGGCCTTTCCTCACCACTATCAGCACCACAGCCACTTGTCTCCACTCCACTTGAGCCATCCACACCACCCCTCCAGGTTCAGCCCTGTCTCCCTGGTTAATGAGGGTTTCCAAAGAGTGGGTGGAGGGTACAGCTGGGAGCAGCTCAAGACATTAAGGGACAAGAGTTTGAACGCAGAGAGGCAGAGCAACGGGCGGAATAAAGGACCATATGTGAGGAGAAGAGACAGACAGGTTGAGCATTTTCCCAGGGTTGAAAAAGCAAGTCCTCCATCACTGAGCACATGTCTACCTCACTCTCCACATGAGGACCTCACATTGCAATACGATGTGTTGCACAAATCAGCGAAAGCTGTCAAATATCCCACATCTGGACATTCCTTCATAAGAGTTTCCCCTGACGATAACTCAAGCAACAAATACACCTCCATGAAGGAGGATGCAACAAGATCTTTTGCTCTCCCCTCCTCTGAGCAGGTTTCTTCCTCTTCTTCCTCTCCTAATAATTTCCCCTGGCTGCTCCCTCACTTTGTGGCAGGCTCTCTGATCGAGCTCAGAGATGGGCGGCTGAGGAGGGTGGAACACCTGCAGACGGAGGATTTCCTGCTAGGATCACTGGCCTGTCCAGACCTGCGCCTGAGCTGCTGCACGGTGCAGAGCATCTCCCCTTCAGCCTCCTCCTCGTCCATCTCGCGCCTCCTCATCCTGCTTCACGACCAGCAGTCCCAGGTGAAGGAAAATCACTCTGTAGTATCCATCCTTCACAACAGACCCTTCACATGTAGCTGACATTGTTTTTCTTATTATAAAATACTAGCACACAAAATTTGTATCAGTCCACAGCTGCAAATAGTCCCAAACGAATGCACCACTCATTTCTGCTTGAGTAACATTTGCTCTATGAAATAAAGCAGGCCAAACTGAAACCATATTTTCGTGATCATGTCTGCCACACATAGGGTGGGGAGGAAGTATTGAGAGACAGACAAACGCGTAGTTGGTGTTGGTCTCTACGTGAATTTGCTGACAATAAAGAAACTATATAGAATAAACCTAGAATAAACCCAACTTTATCATTTTTAACCCACTATGTGTGGAATTTGCAACACGTGACAGACAGCAATGCATGCAACCACTCAGTTTTCGCTAGAATTGTTTGATTTTCTTACCAAAAAAAAAAACTTCAGGCAGCTAATATGATAGTTTCTATAAATACATAAAAAGTTGAGCCATAATTCAAAATAAATATAGCAAAATAGCAATTGATATTTAACCACTATGTCAGGATCTTTACTTGATTTTGTGTTTGGCATGTGGTAAATAAGAAATCTAGTGATATTTGCCAGTCCATTGTGCCTCAGGGGTATTGGTGTGAACTGTGCAAATCACTTATCTATACACGCCTGCATCAGGTCTCCATTGAATCTACGGACTGAATCAGAAAAGTACATTAAAAAAGTTTTTCCAAACTAGAACAGTAGCACCCCCTAGTGAACAAGTGTGCACACTGCATTCCTACGTCTAATCTTCATATGTAACATCCTCCTCCAGGAGCTGGTGGATGTCTATGTGGAATACCCATTCTTTGTGCGTGGGAGGGGCTGGTCCTCCTGCAGCCCTCAGAGGACCGCACGTCTCTGTGGACTGCGTTGCCGCCAGCTCAGTGTGGGGGACATCTGCCTGGCTCTCACCCCTGTCTCAGCCCCCCAGCCTCCATCGTCAGCCGCTCTGGAGCCAAAAACCTCATCCAGCAAGTCAGAGGGAGGCTGTGAGTCCCTAAAGGCACCACAACCCCAGGTTCCCCCAGGGCCAGAGCAGTTGGCAGGGGGAGAGAAGAAGGAGGCAGAGGCGGTCCGCAGGAGACACTACTCAGCCCCTGAGTTGAGAGGTCCAGGGACTAACTGCATGTAATGAGGAGGGTGGTTGTTTTATGGACAGGAAGCATGTCAATCTCTTTTAAGCTCTGCTATATTCAGCCTATATTTGCTGTCTTTCTACCTCCTGAATCATATTTCTGTGCTTGACTATCGTTTTTAATTGTATCTAAGGAGTAAAAGCTAAACAAGAAGGGTAAGATGAACTCTCAGGATCACCAGAGGTAAACTATATTTGTCAAACAATGACTTTGTGAGTTGAGTTAAACATCACATTTTCTGTGAGGCTGATCAAAGTCTATAATAACACAGAATTCAGATTTCAGAGCTGAGGCTATGTAACCAAAGTGTTTGTTGCCATAGGGAGATGTTTCGGTGACAGTGAATCTGAGAAAGATCTTGTAAGCTCAAAGAACATTGTTTGGGTTTTAAAGCGAGTGTTATTATTATTTCAAGCCGTTCTGACAAAATCTGCCCACGTTCCTTGAAAAGCGCAGAGAACGACTCCCTCAGGTCCATCACTGCTGATCAGAGCATTTAAAGTTTAATATTATGTAAGACGTCTTTATGATCATAAATGATAGGTTTCATCCCAAATTACTGCAAATCCTTAATGCCAGAAACTTTTCTGATAATATAGTCCTTCGTTTGAGAGTGAATTTTCACAATGACAATCAACACCACATTTGATTGCATCAGTAAGATTAAGATTTACGCTTCTACCTCTATTTTCTATTTAAGGTGACAGATACATATAATCTGTTTTTAACGTTGTGGGCTGTGTCGTAATGTGCTACGTTGGAAGCTCTCAGCTCCCAGTCAGTTTGAATGTCTTTATCTGCCTGGGTGTTTTACAGTGTATAGCTGCTTTGCTTTAACTGACGCTCCTTTTTAAATGTCTGTCTCATTGTTAAGAGTGGACCTGCAACCCTGTTCTCATTCTGAAGTCGTCAAATACCGCCGCTTTGTCAGTGATTTCAGCATTGGACACCGACATAAGGCCAATATTTCCAGCGGTAGGATGCACTGCCGGTCAGCCAGACAGCACCTTTCATGGCAGTTTAATATGCCATTGGACAACATCAGCTTGAAATGCTGCCAGTGAAGACATGATAAGTTGGAAAGTCCTTGTAGGCCAGGGGGGAGGGGTGGTGGATGGGTCCAACAATCTTGGGACTTTCACCTGTGAGGGTGGTGGTCACTTTCAATATGACTGTAGAGCCAAACCATGAAGTTTTTTATAAACCTAACCACTAGCTTTTGTTGACATCCTGGTGTTGGTAGTGGCGTCACAGAACATCAATAGCAGATGCAAGAGGATACCTCTCATAAACCTCACAATAGCGGCGAGATAAAGCTGATAAAGCGGCGATATGTTACGGCTTGGGATAAGAATGTGTTGGACATGCTCGAGCCATTCAAAGTACTTTTAAAGCACAATCTCTGATTGATGTACAGTGCCATGTGTCTGCACTGCAATGTGATTTCCTCCTGCGTATACATAGTACATATTTGACCCTTCACTAAGCCCCTCCCAAGAATACCCACTGTCAAATCCTACGTTAGCAACTGTAACTAAGCACTGTATGCCTGTCAAGCTTTCAGAAAAAGAGAAAATGCAGAAACAGTGTCTGGAACCTGCAAGTCAGACAGCAGATATCCTTAAAGTTTAGAGGGCAGTACCATGACAACAGCCCAAAAGTTCGTAGCCCCATTTGTCCGAAAAATTTGACAGCCCATTATCCTTTAACAAATGTCCATTGTTCTAAAGTCCTGTTTCTCCAAAAACACATCCCGCAGTTACTTTCAGTTTCCTGATTACGTTTGAGCCACCAAACCCAGTCGTTTTTCACCAACCAGTCCCGGCTTTTCCAGCACTGTTTGTGCCACCAAATGGTGTTTGAGCCAAAAACCATCACCAAGTGGTTGTAGTGCCTAAATCTAACCACACATTCACCACAGCGCTATTGACAAAGTTAACATGTCTGTGGTTTACAGAAACGTACAATGCTAACATTTTTTTTCTGGCTGTTGGGTTGTCGAAAAGCAGGGGGCGTGTATTTTCTGAAAAACAGGACTTTAGAGCAATGGTTTGTTTTTGAGATAATGAGCTGTCAGCGAAACGGGCTATCAGTCCAATGAGACATATTTAGGACAAGCGGGGCTAGTCTCTGTCGTGCTATATTTTGCTTTTCCAAAGCTAAAAATTCAAGAGGAGAGATGCGGTATATGGATTTAACAGTGTGAAAGACCTCACTCACAGCTGAATCTATCAAAAGTCAACAAAAACTCCTTTGTTTGCAACAAGGTAAGATGCTAACCAATGTTAGCTAGCTTAGCATGTTAGAAAACAAAGATAATGGAATATAAAAATACTGGATGTTTTAACTTTAAGTTGGGTAGTTGTACAGTTGAGACAATTTGCACTTTAAACAAATGGAAACGCAAGATAATTTAGTTTTACCAACAGTGGGTTAAAAATACAACAGATAATGAAAGCTTTGGGGAGTCATAATTAAATGTTACATTAAAATAAAACAATTGATTTACCCTGCTTTGCAAGAACATTGACGTTCCTGTCTCAGTTTGTCCTTCACCTGAATTTATACTGTGAATGTAGCTCTCAAATGCATACTGTAGTTATTTGTCTTCTTGTCTCTCTACTTCTCTGAGCTTATCTTTCAGTGATATCTTTGAAAATGCTTTGACAACAGCAACCGAGGGGGGAGGGACTTAGCGAAGGGTCAGTTAAATTGTACAAAACTGAAATGCAGACTATGTGCAGGGAAGGTACTGTACACACAGTTTGGGTCTTCACCTTGTGAAACAGTTTTATCACTGTTCAATAAATGTGTGTAAAGTTTTCTGCATATTTTTTCATATAAATCTATCAAAACCCATTAATCACTCACAAAACAATAATTTACTAGGTGTGTTACATGCCACTGTAAGGAACATTGTTGAGGCCAAAAGAGGTTTAAAAAAAAGAATATATCTGCTTCTTGTTTAAAAGTTTCCATTTATTCAACTACTTAAATCTGACAAAATAAAATTACAGCTTCTCTTTGCCCACCTGCTGAGCTGCAGAAAGCAGCTGCAGTCGGGGCGACGGTGCACACCCTGATGTCCATCTCATGAAGATGAATCACTGACATCTTGCAGATTGCATGCCTTTCACAGGCCTGGTGATATATGTCTGCACCAGGAAACTGGGTCCAACAGGCAGACCTTTCAGTCCAACACTGTTATTAACAGTCTCGGCTGCCATTCTTCACTGAGCTCCTCTACATCAGCAGCACACACGCGAGCTGCCAGATGTCTTACACCTGACCTGGTCCAAATGGCGTGCTGAACAACCAGTCAAGTTTTTTTTATTCTCATCAGACATAAGTTCATCCAGCTGTTCCAGGAGAAAAGGTGCAGTGGACCAACAGGAAGATGGAGATTTAACATTTTATGAGCTGTGAAATCAGTTACCAAATGCACATTTCCACCCAGGCAATAATTTATATTCTGATCCCTGATGGTCAATGCCTGACTTCAAATACAGATAGATACATGTTGCACATTAGGGAAAATACTGAATGTTTGGTTCAAGTCTCTGAAGTAACTCCACATTGCTCAGAGTCCTTTTAGTGCACTTCTTCTCATCAAACTCAAAGGAAAGCAAAAGAAACCCCTTTGTTCAACCTTTCTCTGTTACCAATAGCTCTAATTGCTTTGTGGTTGTGGTTAATACTGCACGGGAGGCTCAGCTGCTGGTCATAAAAACAAACAGTACACCAGATTAAAGCTCATTCTGTGGCAGGGGCTCCCTGATGACCAGCCAGTCAATCATTCCTTGTCTCTGGTTCCTTCTGGTCCCTCCAGATTTTGTCTAACTCACAGGAGGGGGTTAGAGCGGTCAGTGGCAGCCACAGGCTCTCACCACCATGTTGCGGTACTTCTTGAGGATAACGTTGGAGCTGTCGTCAAAATAAAGCACTGAGATGCCGTGGAGCTGGGTAGGGGCGCAGCAGGGTTTGGGCACCGTGTCCGGGTTGATAAAGTGCACCTGATGTCAGAAGAAGCACAAATCAATCCTCACAGGAAGTGGATGTTGTACTGTAAGTGCCTGTCATCATGGGGGCTGTTTGGTACTTACCAGAGTTTGCACAATGGCGTGATTGGTGGCATTCATATAGGAGTTGAGGGGGAAGGCGCATTCTCCTTCGCAGTAGTACGCTGCATAGCCCTCTGGTGCAATGATCCAGTCCTGGTCAGAATAAAGCCACAGGTAAATGTCAGTTAATTATCACTTTTGGGCATAAAATCAAGTGCAGTTATGTCAAAATGAGATCAAATAAAAGTTCTGAATTATACCTGCCATCCCAAGTCTCTGAAACTGACATACAGCTCATGCTTTTTACATCCCTCTCTGGAGATGCCAAGGTTATCTGAAATTGATAGCACGAGAGTATGAGTACACACAAGTATGAAAGTGCAAAATATATTGAAGGCCAAAGTCAAAGTAATCAAAAACATGACTTAAGTCTATTGAGATTTTGAAAGGTTTGGACACCTGTTGCAGCCTCCACTGCCTTTAGGGCATCTTGGACAGTCCTCTGGGGTTTGGAGCGGTTAGACTGGCGCCCCTTGTGGGCAGAGCGGATGCTGCGGAAGCGCACCTCATTGGCTTTGAAGAAGGCAACCATGAACGGTTGCTTGTCCTGAGGTCCACTGCCTGTAACCAGCCCTGCCAGCTGGGGATTCCACCCCTGGCCTAGAGGGGGCAACAGGGAGAACAACATTAACGAGAGTCTCGACCACAGGCTAGATAGAAAAAATGGACGTACCCCTGAAAATTAGGGATTCGAAACATCAGATGTCAATCAGAGGTTGACTGAGATTGCTTCAAGTTGAAAAAGATCACTCTTTTATCCTATCTTTCTTTTTTGCCAGTCAGTGTTCAGGGTACTTCTGGGGATGTATTTGCCCTCAGATTTTGCATCAGAGTTAGCGCTCTTTACTGTCAAGCTGCTCTCTGGTACTTGCAGCTGAGAGGCTTTGCCCCGCAAGACTCAAAAATGACATTCTCTGAAGTGATGAATTTAAAGCTCACAGAAACTTAATATGATACAATCTCTGGCTTTTGTTCAATATCTAGTGTTGGCAAAAAATGTTGTTGCACATTTCCACAGTTGTTCACTACAAAATGTTAACGTGACTGTCACACTGAACCCTGTTGAAACTCTTAAACGTCACCCATTGCTTTGTGGACTCCTGTTTTGAATTTTTGAGTTTGGCCATTTGGTTATCGCCATTTTGGGTTTCTGGAGCCAGAAGTGACCAAAGTTGGATGAGAAGGTGGAGTTATGTAGGGGTGAGGGTAGATCTGACTCACGAATTCTGGTGATGCCTTCCAGATAGCCTGTCGCTCAAAGTGGCTAAGCCCTTAGGCATAACTGCAGGTAGAAATTAGCCATAGAGACCAAAACTGTTTTTGTACCAGGCTGTAAACGTGTTTATTTCTGCT